ACTTACCTCTCCGAGGAGGGACCTCCCTCCGTACCTCCTTGTCCCTTAAGTTCACTCCTACCTGATGGTAGGAGGGAAGGGGATCCATCACTCGTTCAACCACCTCCCCCTGCCCCTGCCTTAGGGCATGGCTCCACCAATCTGTTTCACTTCGGCATTCTCTGATGGCTCTCAACCCTTCTACCTCCTCCCTCCGTTCAGCCGCCTGCCCGAGCAGCTCATTTACCCGCTCACACCGCGCACAAGCGGCGGCACCGCCTCTCCCCAGCGCAAGAGCCAGGCTGAGGCATTCCCTGCAGCCAGAGACCTGCCCGGCCGCGGGTCTGCAGGAAGGCTCGGCCCGGGTATCCACGTTACTCCACTACAGCTTCTGACCGTGCTGTGACCATGATCCGTGCGGGCCATGGGTCCGCCTAGGTCTCTCCTCACAAGCAAGCACTCCTCCCTCCTCCCGCTCTCCCGCCCGGCCCTCTTCACCCCCTCACCGCGCTCTGCTCGCCCCGCTCCCGGGGCAGGTTTTCCCCCGCCCAGGGCTGGTTCCGCTCCTCGCGGCCCCGCCCGCTGTGAGTCCGCTCCTCCCGTGAGCGGCGCTGCGGGCTCCGGGGCAGGCCCTGCCGGGGACCCGAGGCTCCCTCCTCGGTGGCTCCCGCGCTGAGGCTCCCTGGCGCTGATCCCCCCCCGCTCCGCTCCGCTCCGGTGTTGCTGCGTCCTCTCTCAAGCCACTCAGCGCAGCGCAGAATGGTTCAGCACAGTGTGGTGCAGCACAGAATTAGGTGGTGCAGAGATGTGAGCACAATTCTGCCACGCTAACAGAAGACAACGTAATTATTCCTCTGATTTTTGTCCCAGCAGGAGAGAACGGAACCGCAGGGCGTGTTCATTTGTACAACAGGCCACATGCTTCCTTGCTTGGGAAACTTAATGAAGTCACAGTTTGACAGTAAGACTGTATCAGAGATGCGTTTCAGTTTAGAATGATAACCAGTTAGGTTGCGGTTATGTGCCGCTGCACTGGTTTCCCTTTGCTTTGGCTGGTGACTGAGCTACCCTGGCAAGTCAGACCCTGCAAGTGTCTATTCACTTTATCCACAGTTCTTCGTAAGCAAGTTACTAACTTCCTGATTAGCTTCCTCAGAGGATAAATACTGATGTGCTCTGGGTTTTCATCATACCGTAATCAGGACTCAAAACACTCAGGGTGGTGGTGTGTTTGGGGCATCTCTTCATCACTCTGATGCATCCATTAACCTGTCATCCGTAACACAGGCTGTCTGGAATATTAAGGGTACTTTTGGTTTTGATTTTAGTAATCTCATCTAAAGAAAAGGAGTGTGCCCTCCATTCCAGATGTTTTCCTTTATGCTTTTTGCCATACTGTCTTATCCACAAGCCTTTTACCAGTAACAGCAGGAGCCAGTCTGATATTCATATAATTGCCTGGAAGCCCCTGAAGAATACCAGACAAGCAAGTTCAAAATCCTGCATCACCTTCCAACAAGGCTGCTGTTTAATATCAGAGAAATTACAGGAAATACAGTGTCAGCAATTGAAAATGAATGTAGTTTATCCACAGAGCTTTGACTAGGTCTAATTAGAAGTAATGTACCTCCACAGAAATTAATAACTTGCCCATTATTGGCGTTTTTTACTATAAATGGAAACAAAAATCTGAATGTTTGTTGACCAAGATTGATGGATTTACAGTTGTTTCTAAAATTAATTGGGGCTCATGTGGTTCACCCAAAAAATCTGGCTGAGGATCGCACGTGTTGGTTGTGAGTAATTGGAGTAAGTATTTTTTCAGGTTTCATTCATTTGGCATTTAGGTTCCAATGGTGGATAAAATAATTTAAGAGCTGTTTGAGTATTTTGGCCTGGAAAATCTTTTTATTGGTGCAGGAAGTATTCCTCAGTTATACGCAATGACTGGACAGAAGTCGCACCACTGAATTGAATTGAAGTGACCGGGTCATTCAGGTCCTGTTGGAGGGGAAGTTATGGGGTTTGTTAAAATGTGGCTCATAAAAGAGTTGTGATTTGCATTCACAGTGAGCTCAAATGGTGCCAATTATTCACATTTTGAGTAAATATTTTTTCAGGTTTCATTCATTTGGAACCAAGGTTAGAACATTCAGTGCAAACAGTCAATGGTGTTTCTTACTGAACCAGGCACATGTGTGTGGGAGGTGTGCAGGAGCCTATGTTGGGTGTTGCAGGGCAGTCTTTATTTCATATGCAAGAAATGCCAAGGCCATTGGTAGGAAGGCAGCTGCAGCACCACAAAAAGCTTTTGACACTTCAAGTTTGGGCCTCTTTATTTCTCAGCTGCAAATAGGTGCAGGGATTACTTCCAACCATCAGCAAACTATTTGCCCACTCTGCTAAATGGAACCACAACGGTGATGGGGTGCACTGACACAGCAATGACTACGTCTGGCCATGGATGTGCAAGCAGAGCTGAACCCGACTGCCTCTCACAAGCTGGGGAGCAGAAGTGGTGAGCAGGCCATGTGGGCACTCATTGCCTGCTTGAACGGCCCTCGCTGCTTCCACATCCGTTTCACATCTGCACAAAGGAAGGGCAGCAGGCTGTGGGCTGGGGGGATGCTCTGAGTCTGGATTGAGCTGGCATTTGATGCTGCAGTGGGTTAATAATTGTAAGGGGTGTTCAGACTGGAGTGACTTCTGTTAGCATTGAATTGGGTTGACCCATGGCTTCTTAAAAAGTAGAACAAAATGGGTTTGGGAACACACGCTACCTTATTCACACACCCTGTGTGCACATCTGTTCTTTTTATTACGATACCCCCCCACTTTTTGTTGTATTGCCTTTCCATGGGAGCAAAACACCTCCTATGGTGTTTTCACCATATCAGGATGAAAGTCAGTCAGCATAAAGCATACATAAAAATGTCAAGGAGTTTGCTGACATCAGGCTCGGTGCATCAAAGTTTATTCCAACATACTGGAATGGTCAGTCTAATGATGGGAACTTACAGAGGGAATGGTGACAGCTCTCTGCAGAAAATAGCTCCTGACATTTTCTTCTCTGATATCAAAAGGTTTTAAAGTGGTAAAATAATACATAACGTTGCTATGCAGTCTTGCTGGTCCACAAGTTTCACGCAACAAACACCACACTTGACTACGTTCACTTGTTAAAGTGAAACATCACAGCTTTGGTGTTTGTTATTTCACCATCACATCAATGGGGCTGCTGTTTGTTATTAATAGCTAGCCTTATGTGTATTTATTGGGGTACTTTATGTTGGCATCAATAGGTAACCAGAGCTTAAGGACTCCTACTACACACTAAGTATTTTAGGAGCTTTCCAATCATACTGATCTTCTAGATCATGCTCACTTAAGTCAGCATTTTCAAACTCACCTGATTTAGTTGTCTGCAGTGAAATCCTGCCTCTTTTGATTTCCATTTCAGCCTTTCTCTTTCACTGCACAGGATTGCAATTTCACCTGTAGGCTGCATTTAGGCACCTGAGTTTGGGGTCTGGCTCTTTAGACATGTCAAACACGTAATTTCCACTCAAGTCAATAGCTGCAATATATATTCAGCATTCCCAGCACCTAGATTGAATTTTGGATGTAACTCTGCAGATGTTCCATGGAGATAAAGTTCTGCATCTGCCCAGAATTAACAGGAAAGGCTACATTCGAATGCTGACCTCTGCACATTTTAACCAGCTGCTCAAAGCTCAAGAAACGATCATGTAGGGTTATTCCCCTCCCCAGACTGCCCCATACACTATTATACCCCTTCTCTGCAACACCTCTGTCCCTTTGTTTTAAGCATCTAACTTGGCATCTATGTCCTCAGCTTGTGTTAGCATACTTGCAGGTACAGTACTGCTGCTACCAAAAACTCTCCGGCATATTCCGCCTTGAATTTCACGCATGCAAACGCCACTGGAATTCTTGCAGTGACAAAGACCAACACACTGACGTGACCAAATGTAAATCCTTACTTTAACCTACACAAGGACGCCTGTTTTATTTCCTTCATCCTGACATAGACCCTCTGTATTGTAAAAACGCTCATTTTGGTTTGTAGATACCAGAATTGCCAAGTCTCATCCTTCCTTTTGCTGCTGGAATTCAGGAAGGTCTTTCAGATGTCTAACATGAGCTCCTATGATGTCAATGCAGGTGAACAGAAATCAGACTGTGCTATCCATACTGCCTCATCCAAGCACAGCCTGGGAAGGAGAGCATAAACCCTACCTTGGAGTTAGGTTGATCAGCTTCATACCACCTTTGCCATTATAATTCCTCAAGCATGTTAAGTCAGTAAAACTTAATACATAAAAAGCATCTGCTTTGCCTGTGACCCTTGGCAGGGTGACTGTTACCTCCTGATCAGCAGAACTGCAGGCAGTTGTGTCGAGAAGTCCATTAATGGGGACAGGCCTTATTGATTTAGTCAGTTATTTATTTATTCTGTATCAGAGAAAGGCTTAGAAATACGGTGCCAAACAATAAAAAATTACCCAAATGAACACTGAGCCACACGAAGCCCTATCTTCTCCTTCGTCCTGTACAGTAGCTGTCAGTTACATTTAGAACACTGCTTCTAGTCCAGTTCTCATGAAGAAGCTATATTACAGCAAACAGAAGTGTTACTTTCAGGAATTGTGCAGATCAGCTTCACTTCAATCTGTCCTTTGAAAAAACACTGATTTTTTCAATTAGGAGCTTAAATATATCTGAAATTATTACAACAGAAGCCTGAAGAACAATTAAAAAAAAGGAAATGTCTGCTTTCAATGCATGGTTTTGCTTTCTACACAAACCCACCAGATTAACCCTAAGCGTACTTTTTGGCACACACATAAAAATAATCACATAATGCATACCCAGATGCTTACTGGTAAACTATGCTTTTGAACAAGGGCTGTGATTCCAAAGAGCAGATAGATTCAGCTCCAGCAGTAATTGCTGCCTGACATGTCAGCCAGAGGTTACCTTCCCTTTCCGCTCCCCCAGACTAACTCCTCAGCTACTACACCGATGCACTTTCTGAGGAGAGAGCACTTAAATCACAGGGCTCAGGTTTGCAATGCAATGGTTGTGAATGCCCCATGCAGCTCTCCAACCTCTGGCGGGGAAGCAGAGCAGGCAACCGGCACAAGGAGTTAAAACCACTGGCAGCCAAGGCTAGTTTTAGCTAGAACTGCAAATCAGAGCCCTAAGATAAAGCTCAGCCTGAATAAGCCTGCCACGCGTTAACACAAACCTACCCCCTATGGCTTGCAGTGGCTTGAAAGGAAAAGCAAACCTTGAAAAAGTAAAGTGCAGCAAAAATGTCTATGCAGAAACTGCCAGGAGTTTGTAAGTCGATGAGTTCTGGATGACTAAAACCTGCTGACCAAGGCAGATTGCGACCCTCATCGTGCGGGAAGAAAAGTCTTTCACCACTTGCACGCTCATACTTTCTTCGGGTTGATTTCTTTCTGGCCATTTCTTATCTTCGTGGCCTTTTTGGGGCCACTGACCAGCGGGTTGGTGGTTTTGGCTGATGATTTCGGGGGTCCACTCTGAGCACTGCGCCCTGCGTTCTGGCTCTTGCTGCGGGCTGTTCGCAGCTTCTGTTCTTGCAGTCTCTGCTCCCACCTCTGTGGAAATGCGGAAGACAAAGAGGCTGCATTAGGGAGGAACGTTAGCCATAAATAATAATGTCTTAATCAAAGCTAGCCTGAAGCGCTGATAATAATGCTGGTTTTAACAGGTTTGTGCTCTCTCCTGCAGGGCTGTTGATGTCAAGCATGTAAAGGCTGTCTGCAGCGAGAACCTGCCCATGTTCTTGGGTGGGAGAGCTTCCGTGATGCCAGCTGATGGAAATGACAACTGCACATCTTGTGTGCATGCTGCATGGGTGTGTACATCCCAAGCCTTTACAGCAATCCAGGGATGCTGGCACCCTGCTGTCAAAAAGACAGGATCTGCACTCCTTTGCACATCCTTTCTTTGCTCTCCTGCTGAACGTGCTTGCCTTTTCCTCAGACTATCCTTTCACAGCACATACTTAAACACACAGCTACAATGAAAGGTGGAAATTCCCTATTCCATCTCTTCACTGACCCTGTTGCAACTCGGACTCTTGTCCTGGCTGGAGGAGAGACCAGCCATGCTGTGGTTGTGTTAACAACTGTCTTCTGTGGGCCACAGACAGCTCAAAGCATTCATTTTCAGTGGTAACTCAAGATCAAAGCTGGATGCAAGCCTTCAGAGATGAACGATGGGTGTTAAAACAAAGCCACTGTGATACCTGGCTCCGTACTGGCTACCTCTGTGTGATCAGGGTCAGTGCATGCATCTGTATAAAACACAAACTATCAGCAGGCATTTACCAGTGTCCCACTCAAGCATGTTACAATGAGGATTTGATTTCTTAAGCTACTCATATCAGAGGGAACAATGCATGCTTGAGAAGCATTTTGTTTGGCACACATGCCTCTACTTGACAGCCTGGAAATGAATGTCCAAACTGCCTTCAAGACACAATTAGAGATGACAAAGCAGTGTGAGGAGGCCACTAAAACACATAGTGTGCCAGTAATGGGCCATTAAGCTGACAGCTAAGGGACTGCAGAAGTCCCAGTCATATGTCAGTGTTCTCCTAAATCCCACGTGGGACCATCTGCAATTGCAATGGTTTTATTTTTGAGAGATTTAAAGCCTGGGTTTTTTTACATATGGGTTTTACATGAGAAAGTGAGGAGAAAAAGGAATGCCAAAAGCATCAAATACAATGTCTGCAAGAAGCAGGTCTGTGATCCTGAAGCTTCTACTGACAGATAACCTGCACCTTTGTGCCTCCTCTTCAGCAACTGCCAATCAGACTGTAACTACAATAAATATACATGTTTGTCCTTAATGCTCTGAAACCTCTCCTAAACTCCAGAAATAGCTTTCTTCCACCTCTAAAAGCGTGAGGAAGAGTCAGACATTGTCTTGATCCATCCTTTCTTTCCATCATAAACAGGAGTTTGCACGCAGGGAGTGACAGCAAACACTACCCTGAAGCCCCCAGAAGCAGGGGCATCTGCTGCTCCTGCCTCCCAGCTCTCTATACCATAGACTTTTCCTTCCAGTGTCCCCTGAAAATGGTGAGGGGATGCCCAATACTTCCAGTGGGTCGCTAGTGGGAAGCACATGGTGAGAAATGTGTCTCTCAAGCCTCCAATCTTTAATGCAGCCAAGCCCATTTATCCACTGCAGTGGTTTAACTTCCTTTCTTATCTAATGTGAACTATGTACTCACCTGCCTCTCACCTATCTGACGGTTATGTGCCTTAGTAGTGATATGAAAGAAATCCCTTGAGTCACTATTGTAATAAGCCAGAGTTCACACAAAGACCATCCAACCATCCTACTTAGGGACAGTTTGCAGACAAAAGAGAAATAAAACTTCAGAGACCCTAAAATGCAAGACTAAAACATTCAGATTTTCACTTATATGTCATTTTGAGGTATGGAAGTGTTGAAGTGAAAATAACAATGCCCACAGGTGTCACAGACATGTGAAAGTCAAGCAAGTTATTGAGCGCTGAGGTAGAACAAAGGTGTTTAACGTTCAGTCTTTCCCCTGGTTGTATTTACCTTGAACCTTTTGTTCAGTTGATCCTTCCATTTTTCAACGAGGCAGCCCTCAAGAAGCATCAACCTGAAGGTTAAGAAACAAACACACGTCACAGGTATTTCTGATTTTGATTCCTGAGATGTCATTCCAGGTGATTTAACACAGACTGAGGTTGGGGTGCTCCAGGAGGTACTGGTACCGGTGGTTTCTGTGTATGGGATGATAGGCAGAAAACTGCTTTTCTCCGTCCCTAAATACTTCCCAATGGATTCCTACACGCTGACACTGACACTGCTGAACTTCTACTCCCAACTCCATAAGAACAGGAAAGAGTTTTTAAGAGAAATCAGATTTTAGAGCCAACACTGCAGCGCATGGCCAGAATTCAGAAAGCATTCAGAGCCCTTTGGCCTCCCCTGCAGCTATTCTGCAGGGAAAGTTGTCCTGGCTTGGTCACTGATAAAAAGCAGTGGTGGGTTAGGTAACATCCATGAAACTAAATGTATATGTACATATATTGCTTCCCAATGTCCATTATATGTTGGTTTGTGTTTGGGTGCAGAAGAGTAGTTAAAAGTAATGTATTTTACTTCTGAATGAACTAAAATGCTGTTTCACATGCATCAGTTACTACAGAACAGCTGATGAATGCTGAAACATTATCTGATCCCTTACAATCATCTCAATTTCTACCTCTATATACATGAGGAGTTATACATAGAAATATATGCAGTATTATATATTTCCTGCATGGAACTACTTAGTTAGTGCTTTGAAGTGGATTGTGGAGAAGTAGGGGCAGTAGTACTTGCCTACCAATGAAATCTGGCTAGGTCCTGTATGAAAATACTGAGTCTAAGTGTTATCAACTGAAGAAAACAAAAATGTTAACTATTAAATGTATATGCATTAAACAGCTTGTGAAAGAGTTTATTCTAGAGCAGCCTGATGTCACACCTTCTAAGTGCCAACCTAGAAACAACTATTTCATTGCACAGGGATGCTGAATTAACATGCAGGATTAAAGCTAAGGCCACATCATGATGAATGAAACCACAGCACAGTGTACATCTAATGCAGCTTCTGTTCAGGTCAAATTGTTGGCTGAGACCCTAACCTTATTGACAGCCAATGGGTTTTTTTGCCATTGACTTTGGTGGAGATACAGCTTCCACTAATTTTACTTCTGGCATTTTAACAGGCTGCTGTAACTCAAAACCTCCTGTTTTCATGCCACTGAGTTCAACAGGAAACACATATAAAAGTTTCTGTTTCTTTTTCAAATCCCTTTTAGTACACTATATGAAATTAAAACCCTCAGTGACCTTTAAACAAACATCACAAGATACTTTGTGAATGGTGTGTTTTTCCATTGTAATGGAGAGGCAGATTGCAATCCTTCGCTTTTGAAATATCCCCCTCCTGACATCCTTCTGAGAGCCTTCTCCAGCAAACCTCTGCAGCTCAGTGCTCTTCAACCACAATCTTGGTCCTTCTGTGTGACTCAGAGAACAGAACCCCAGACTGGTTTGGGTTGGAAGGGACCTTAGAGCCCATCCAAGCTCCAACCCCTGCCACGGGCAGGGACCCCTTCCACTAGAGCAGCTTGCTCCAAGCCCCTGTGTCCAACCTGCCCTTGAACACTGCCAGGGATGGGGCAGCCACAACAGAGCATATATCCCCCAAATGGCTAACACAAGTAGAAGGCTCTAGATTAACCTTTGTGAAACACTTCCACACCTGGAGAGGTAAAGTGCTGTGTAATATTACAATACCATGATTGTTAGCTCAGAAAAGGAAGTTAAGGTAGTAAGGTATCAGATGGCAACTTTTCCAATGGAATGCTTTTAGAATATCAAGCTAAAACTCATTGAGAATATGGATATGGCCCATCAAGTTCTGCACATAGATGTTCTGTGGTCCTTACAAGTGCACATGATCAATTTACAGTCACATCACTGCATGTGATGGCAGGCTACACACTTCACAAACAGCCTCTGATGCACAGCACACAGGCACATGGACCTACCGGTCCTGCTGACATCTGTTGCTACAGCTACACTTGGGGTGCTAACGGGGATGGGATGACTCCTTCCACCTCAGAGGCCCAGAGGGAAAAGGGAGCTGTGATTCATCTCTCCCTCCCCTCCAGACCAGCATGCTGGATTTCCTCCCATGCCTGGGGCCAGGCTGACTGCCAGATGAGAGGTCTGCTACAGTTTTGTTTTGTCTTTTAATCATACGGCAGCACTGGCACGCTGCTCCCAGAGTATTTACTTTTCAGCTGCCATCCGGGGCCTGGAGCTCCAAGGGCTGCAGTTTTGGCTGGTCCTGGTACAGCTGTGGGATCAGAAACATCCCACTGATGGCACTGGTCCACACTATGGATAGGCTGGTGGAGAAGGCCCGGCTCTCCAGCAGCTCTGTGGAGAGGAGATGGGTATCATCTCCTGTCCCCTCCTCTGCGCTCAGTGAGGCAGAACTACACCTTCCATGTGGTTCTGCCAACACGGAGCAGCATCTCCAACCACCATCAGGCTTGTAGCTCATAGCTATGGAACGTGGTCCTGGGAAAATGCTCCCAAACAGCTGGAGATGCCTCAAGTGCTGCACAATGCATTAAGCAATACCAGGTTTTATGCTCCATGTGCGAGCCAGGCTTTATGAACACCGTGGAAAGAGTTAATTGCCAAAGTAATTGAAACACGTGTGGGTTATGCTAAGAAAAACTATCAACAAACCAGGCTCTTGATGAGGAAAGCTTTGCTGGTCCCACTTCCCGCCCATCACTTCCCTGCACCACATCACCAGGGCTCACCTTGAGCGCCATTCATAGCACATGATGAGAACATCCTGCTTCGGCTGAAGGGGTGGACACTGGCAGGAGGAATTTGTGATAAGCGGCACTTGGGACAGAGGAATGGGTGTCGAGGACTTCAGGATGTCTTTGACTTCAACCACAGTGGTGATTTCATTGCAGTTCCCTCTTTCGACACTTTTTACTTTGGCGTGAATGACTGCAACGAGAAAAGGAGAGGCGTGAGAACAGCGAATGGTCTGAGGAAATTAAACACATCTCAGCGTTAAATAAAACTGATTCAATTGGAAGCTGTTGTTTTGGCTGTGAACCTGCGACTGCTTCATGTGTGGGCACGTACAGTGGCTTAGAATAACAGAGGCCTGATCCCAATTTGGTTTTCAGTAGGACTGTTGACAACTGTGAAGTTAAACATGTGCTTAAATCTCTGCCAGATCAGGCCAAGTGATCTCTCCTGGAACCACACACACAAAGAGCTCCTTTGACTCAGACTTGAGCAACCCCCGGCATAAATAAACCCCATTCTATAGCCACATTTGGCTATTTCCAATTAAGTAATGAATAATTTACCCCACAAACAGTGTGAATTAAGTCTTTTCAGTAATAAAATCATTTTTCCTGTAGGTTAGATCCAGGAACCAAAGTCTTTTCTTAGACAGAAGAAAGAAAGGAAGGTTTGAAACAAGCAGTCAAAACCCAAAAAGCTTAGGAATGCTGTAATGTGCTCTATAAAAGGTCTGTACTTGTTTTCTTCTTTTGTCTTTGGATTATTCATTAGTAGCAAGATCTTCATATAAAGCAGACTCTGAAACGGGTTCTTCTGACTCCGAACACACAAACAGTCATATTTTTACCTTTTATTGAGGAAAACTGCCTACCTGTGTGGGTGCAAGAAGGTGAAACTCTGTCGATTGCTCTGAGGATGGTCCCTGGCTAACTTTGTACCTCTGAACCCTGCACCGCAGCATTTCACCCCTTCTCTCTTCTGACAGGCACCAAATCAGAGAAATGAAGCATAGTTTTTGCATGAAAAACTCTAGGTCTTAGAAAATGCCACAATAGGAAGGGTCCTATGATCACAGAACTCTTCAATGAAAGAAGCATGAGAAGGGTATGTACCACGGGGTGATGCTGTCCCTGGCAGCCACCAGGTCAAAAGCATTCCAATGGATCTCACGTTCGGAGCAAACGTCACGTGCAGAAAAGAGGAGGCCAGCAACTGCAGTGCAGCCTGAGGGTTTTGTGCTAACTTTATCAGGATGTGTAACAGCCACAGAACACATGAGGGATTTCAGCTGAGGAGACTCACAACCCATTTGCAAGTCTGATTGCAACCAAGGTCTGACCAGCTACAAACACTGTTTGGCTTTATACAGATGATTTTAAAGGATATATAAATAATATATGCATACATAAAATAATATAAATATACTTATATATTATTTTAAAGGGAAAAAACCCACCCTGATTTTATTTATTATTTGTCTTGCCTTGTCTCTCAGTTCATTTTCCATAGGAGCATATCTATTTCAGGAGGATGAATAAAAACCTGCCTCCCACAACCAAAATCTTGATTTCACAAATTCAATGGAATCTCTATTTCATTTCAGAATACTAATTTTGTAGCACTGCTTTCTCAGATATTTCAGCCCAGTGTGGAAGTTCATTGTCCTACCTGAACATACCACTATCTTGTACCAAGGTAGATTAAGGAATAAGAAAAACATGTGATACAAAAGCATCAAAATGCCATAACAAAAAAGCATAAAATGACCTAAGTTAGATGTTCTGATTTTTTCCCACCAAACTGGGCTTGGATATTGTTCTTTTTTTTCCTATGCTAACAAAGAAGTTAACTACAAGCCTACTTTCATCTGCTATCAGACAAAGAGGAATGGAATGGACATAATCACCCTATTGCAGAAGAATCGAATAAATCCATTGAAGAAATGACTGCCATCTGAGAAAAAAAACCATAAAGTGCAAAAGACCATGATACTACATGGTAATTCATAGCTAATAGGGGTTTAAACAGATGCTTGATCTGGTATTTACCTAATCTTAATCTGAGTTCTTCCTGACTCCCAGCATCAGAAAAACAGAGAGGCAGGGGGAGGAAGGGAGAACAGGGCTGAGTATTCACTTGTATTGCCAATATGCCATGCAATGTATGATTAAACTATCAGCCAGCTCCTCGCTGGATGGTGCAAATTGTTCCTGAATTCAACAAACTTCTGACAACTGCGTGCCAGGTGAAACTCTGGCTGGTAAGTAAATGGATATATGGATTTCTAAGCACTAACTTTTCACCCTGCCTCCGGTACGTTCACATTTACAAGTTTTATTTAGGTGATAAACCCCTGTCCATCCCACCCGCTGGATGAAGGCAGGAGCTGGCAGAGGGTCCTGCTCACATTAGATTGAATTGCACTTTGCAGCAGGCACCCTTTCTGCAGAGCGACCGGTTGATGCCAGCTCACATCACCAACATCTGCTTTATCAGAAACACACCGTAACCTGTGCAATGACTGCTCCTGCCTGCACGGGTGTGCGCAGTGATGGGGCTTGGGAGAGGAGGGCTGAGGTGTCCTCAGGCAAAAACCCACTTGGAAAGGCTGCGCTGGGACGGTGATGGGGCCTGGACACACAGGCAGCCGCCTAACTCGTGGGGGGGCACAGAGGGCGGTGGGATGGGCAGAGAGAAGCATTCCCCCCCCTGCACTTACTGTAGCTGTAGTTCTTGGCCAGGTAAGTCGACAGCGTTGGCTTTGTCTTTTTGCACCTGCATCGCTCTTCAAAGGAAGAGAAAAGGAAACGGTTGAGGGGTGCCAGGGGTGGCTCTGCTCCGGGGAGGGGAGCTGGGGGGTGCCTGAGGCTCACCCTGGCCGCGGCTCCTGCAGTCGGGCTCCGGGGGCACCAGCACACCCTGCGTGAAGTCTGTCCACTTCGCATCTGAGAACAGAGGGAGGAAAGCTGCAGCGGGGAGTCCCCCCGGGCAGGGCTCTACGGGTCCCGCAGCCCCCCGGGGGGAGAGCGTGGGGGTTCGAGGGGATCCCCGGGGCTCACCCTCCGGCAGGTCGGTAACGATGGCTTCGGGGGAGATGCAGACGCCGCGGTCGTAGACGGGGAGGTCGTCGCAGGCGAGGCTCTCGGGCCAGCTGTGGTTGTAGCGGCGCATGATGGGCTCGCAGCCGTCGCGGGCGCGCTGGCAGACGGAGCGGCACGGCTTGATGGGGTCGTAGAGGAACTCCAGGGTGCAGATAGGGGCGTACATGGCGCAGAGGAAGAAGGAGAGGACCGGGCTGCAGCCGGTGGCCACCAGCTCCTCGTACTGCTCGATGGCGAGGACGGCGTTTTCCTGGGTGCTGTGGTGGAGGTGGTTGGGCATGCGGGTGATGTTCCAGGGCATGGGCCGGCACATGGGGATGCGCACCGCCTCGCACGGCGCGCCCTGCGCCCGCGGGCTCACCCGCAGCCACAGGGACACCGCCACCAAGGCGCGCAGCATCCTCCTCTTCCTCCTCCTCCTCCTCTTCCTCCTCCTCCTGCTCCGCCGCCTCCCCGGCTGCAGGCAAGTGTCGGGAGCCGCCGCGCCGACAGCCATGGACATCGCGGGACCGCATTTATACCGGTGGCACGAGTGACGTGGGGCCGATCGCGCTCCCTTGGCAGCACCGCTCCTCCGGGGGTGTGTGTGTGTGTGTGTTTTGCTGTGCAGGCACGGTGACATCACCTCCACCCCGTTTAATCCCCCGGCGACATCACTGCGTCTCTCGTCCGCGGCCCCGGTTCAGTTTTCATCTGTGTCATAAATTCCTTCAGGTGGAAGCGGGGGGAGAAGGAGGGGGACGACGGGACGGGACGGGACGCACCAAACCCAAACCACACGCGTCTGCCGACGCGGGCAGACGGGAGGAGGCGGTGGCAGGGGGGACGGGGGACCCGGATCCCCCCCACCCCTTCGCAGGGATGAGCTTTATGGACACGGAGCAGAAACTTTATGCGGGTTCGGAGGAGCTCCGGAGTGCAGAGTGACTGGACTGGGTTCTTGGTGGTGGTGGTGTTATATTATTATTATTATTATTATTATTATTATTATTATTATTATTATTATTATTATTATTATTATTATATTTCCTTGGTGATCCGTGACCATTCAGCCCTGATGCAGTGGCTGGAGCAGCTCTGCTCTGGAGCCAGGCTGAGAGAGCTGGGCTGGGTCAGCCTGGAGAAGAGAAGGCTCCTGAAGGGGAGACCTGAGAGCAGCTCCAGTGCCTGAAGGGGCTGCAGGAAACCTGGAGAGAGGCTTGGGACAAGGGATGTAGGGACAGGCCAAGGGGAATGGCTTTAACCTGCCAGAGGGGAGGCTGAGATTAGAGATTAGGAAGAAATTCCTAAAGTGAGACCTCCATCCCCTTTCTCCACCGTGGGTAAACACCTTTGAGGACCCCGCGGAGACAACGGGATTAACTCAGTGGCGGTTCATTGCAGCAGCCTCGGAAAGCCAGCGGCCGGTGGGACACGGACTTCTCCTCCCTCCGTGTGCCAGCAGATCATCCAGAGCCGAACGGAGAGGGCAGGGGGAGATGAGGGGGAGGCGTGTGCTTGGTGGCAGAGCGTGGGGGGCCACCAACACTAAAGCAGTTAGCCCGTCCTGCCGGGGGGTACACAAAGCCCACCCAGAGGCGCCAGAAGTACCGCAAGGCTCGGTGCCCCTCTCGCATCACCCCTTGAGGAGCAGCGCTCACGGCGGGGCAAGCAAACCCCCCCGGCTGCACCGAGCGTGGCACGGGGGTCCCGTTCCCCGCTGCCTCCTGCTCCCCCAGCAGCCGCCGCCTGCCGGTCCCCGCGGAGGCGATGCGGGTTGGAGGCGGGCCGCTCCCGCCCCCCCCACCGGCGCAGCCCGTGCCCGCCCGCCTGCGCGCTGTGCGGGGCCGGCCGTGCGCGGAGCGGAGCGCGGAGCATGGCGCGGGCGGCGGCGGGGCTGCGGCCGGTCCCGGCGCTGGGGCTGGTGCTGGGGCTGGTGCTGCTGGGCGGCCTCCTGCTGCGGGGCGGCGCGGCGGCGGGGGCCGGGGCCGGGGCCGAGCCGTGCCAGGCGCCGCGGCAGTGGGAAGGGCGCACCGTGACCTACGAGCACGGCACGGGCCGCAACACGAGGGCCGCCGTCTCCTACGACGGCCCCAACCAGCGGCTGCGCGTCCTGGAGGAGAGGAAGGCGCTCATCCCCTGCAAGAAGTAGGTGTCCGCGGCCGGGAGGGGCGGCCGGGGCCGGAGGCGCCTCCGGGGGGGGGAATTGGGGCGATGCAGAGACGGAGGGGGGGGGGGCTGCGGGAGGGGACGGAGCGAGGGGGCCGGCAGCGGAGGAGCCCCTCGGAGGGGTCGGCGGGGCGCGGCTGGGGGGAATCAGCGACGGGCAGGAAACGTGGCACCGACGTGATTCACAGCCGTGGCACGCGTGTGTCTATGTCTGTCTATAATCTAATCTGTCTGTATATCTAATCTATATCTCCGTATCAGATATATCCATATCTATATATATAAACTATGGCTCTAACCTACATGCATATCTATATATGTAATATGTAATCTGTAGATCTAACATGTAATAGCTAATCTACATCTGTACCTAATAGCTAATCTATGCATCTCTCTATATACTATATAATCTATAACAATATCTCTAAATAGATACCCATAATCTATATTCAGTATAATTTCTAATCTATACCTAATCTTTGTACTTGAAATCAAATCTTTATATTGGTATCCAACATCTAGATCTACATACCTAACGTCTAGTATCTATTTCTATATCAAGATATATATATCTCATTATATAATGTATATCTGTGTCTCTCACTCTATATATCCCGAGAGATTTATGATAAGCAGTGTCAGCATTTTGCCTTCAGGGATTTTCCTTTCTCCCAGTTGCTGGTTGGTTTTTTTTCCCCATTCCTTTTGTTTGTTTTAATGGAATGGGAAGCGAGTCCAAAAACAGAGCCCAAACTGTGCGGTAACGTGGGTATAATGAGGTCTGATGAAGAGATTACTCTCAAACACAGGAATTATGTCGCAGGGGGGGTTCTAGCCCAGGAATTAGCTAATAAGGTTAAGTCACATTTCACAAGTTCTTTGGTCATTCTTGCTTCCTGCAAGTGGTAGGTGATCAGTGCAGGAGGTCAGGATGCCACTGTTCTCCATGGTACACACTGCACCGGCTGCCCAGCCCTGGAGGACCTCCCCGTTCTTAAGTTATTCAGGTTTCCTCTGCTAAGGCCATAACAAACCCATCAAAAATCACTGTGTCATTGCTGAAAAATCAGTGTAGGAAAAAGCTGACCGAAGCAGGGCCTCTCTTTGCTTCCATCTGCCAAGCTCAGGCCCTGACAGCTTGGGTGGAGGAAACGATCAGCCCAGAGAGGCCTGAGTGAGTGTGAAGTTTCTGGGTACCAACCATCAGTAGCTCTCAGACCCCGTGTCAGGACCTGCCGGTGTGAGGGCAGCCAGTCTGCCCATACCCCCACCTGTCCCATCTAAAAGATGTTCAAATAAGTGCCTTATTCCCAGGGACGTGCAAACCACGGTGAAGGCCAGCCTGCAAATGCTGTATCATCCTAACTAAATGGTCTCTGCTGTTGAAGAGATCAATATTCCTTTTTCCTGCTGGCATTTTTTCCTCACAATGACCAATTTCTTACCGACATCATATAGTCATTGTTTTCATCTTCCCAAAGCCTCGGTCCTTTCTCTGACAGTCCCCAAACACTCTTAAAACTGTTCTGAGATGCTTCATTTTCAAACAAAGTTTTCCCTCATCGTGAGCTTTTTTCTTTACTCCTGTTTCCATCTAGGAGCCGTATGTTAAAGGCAACATACAGCTGTTTGCTGATGGTTTGATAACATGCAACATAAAGGCTGTGCTCAAACTCCCCTAGGTTGACCTTTATGTTTGACAAGCTCAAGAGTCTGATGCAAGTCTTTTCTAGCTTCTAAGTTGTCTTGACCTCATTTCTTCAAGCTTATGTTTGTTTTATTTGAAGCCTTTATTTTAAGATTGAATAATTATTCTACATTTTCTGGGCCAGATTATGGCTTTTGCCAAGTTCTGCTCTTTTGACAGCTTTGATCAATATTTGCTCTGGATGCAGTTCCGTCTGGACTGATAGGGCTGTAAGGAGGCAGGTGCCCTTGAAGCATCTCTCTGTTGCCTTTTCCTGTATTAGTTTTCTGTTGTAGACAACCTCTGGCCTCAGGGATCCCTGCTGACTCCAGGCTGTCCATGACTTCAGCCATCCAAAACTGGAGGGTGGCTTCATGTGCACAGCTAGCGTCTGCTAAGGGTGTGACCCAGCTTCCATTGAAGTCAACGGAAAGACTCCCATTGATTTCAGTGTGTGTTGGATCGGGTCTGGAGTTGGGATCATCACTTCGCTGTGGACACAGTGAGTCATAAACTGAAGCCTTCAGAAGTCAGAAGCAAAGGGACTTATCCTGTCTGTTGAAACGAGCCTCTCCCCCTCTGCGCTTTGACATTGACAAGAAGAGGGTAAATCACGCCGAGGCAGTGACTACAAAAGCAACAAGAGAAATAGCTCTGTCCTGGTCTCCAAGGAAGTTTCAGCCTAAAATCTCACAAATGGACACATTTTGCTCCTACCAGATGTAACTTACATGCAGCAATCGGGGTTGGCCAACAACCACACTCTTACACAGAGTGTTTTCTGGAGTGGAAGTTCATCGGACATTGCTCTAAGTTAGTTGATGGAGGTTAATCAGGGATACAAGGAACTGTCTGTGTAGAATGGCTTGCAGGCTCATAACCACAGGACAAACCCCAAAGCTTCCAGTTTTCATTGTAGATATATGTTTCAAATTCATGTAACTTGCAGTGTGGCATTTCCATATGTACATCAAGCCAGTGTTTTAAGTAAACTCCTAAAACGTAACCATAAGGTGACTCAGTTGTGGGGATGAACGCAGAGGGCAGAGACAGTCTCCTCTTTTGGTGTTGTGTAGCCCTCAGCTGATACCACGAGAAGAGAAAAGAAAACTAACAGAGGTTTTTATTGAGTAGATGGGGCAACTTCCTGTTTGGAAGAGGTCAGAGCATTAGGGTTATTGCATGATATGGAAAGAGAGCACTTGAAACTGTTCCCTAGAGCTCCTGAGGCGGAGCTGCGTCATGTTACCTGTTCAGCACAGGAACGTAGTTTTAGCTTTTTAATTATTTTATATTATTTATTATAATAAATATTTAATTATTTATTATAATATTTTGTTATTTTTATTATTTCTAATCCTTTATTCCTTACTACATGGAGTTACGTCCTTTTGTGCTCTCTGTGTATTCATCCTTCCTCACTCTTGTTCACCCCTCTGTTGGCCTCCGTCTCCGGATGCTTCCAAAACAGGTAACAGGCATCAGAATGGTTTTGCTGTTGGGGCAGATGTGTTTCATTTGAAGGTAACATCTGCCGGTTCAGACTTGGATAGGACATCACTGAAATCCTGTCACTACAGAAGGTCTAAACCAGAAGTCCCACTGACTGCCTTGTAGCCAGAACTCCACATGTCCTGCACCACCTTTCATGGTCTTGGAAGGACAGAGCAAGAAATGTAGTGCCTGGCACTGCTGAAGCCACCCAGCAGGCACTAGCGGTCAGTTTTGAAGGAGGAAAAGGGTGAAGTGGGGAGCAGAGCAGAAATCATGCACTGGTGTTTGAGAGCTGGGGTGTTACTTGCCAGATGCTGTGTTAATAGAGTTTAACTCTTATCTTCCATTCTGGTTTTCCCGGGGGAGGCCCAGGAACAGTTTGTCCTATGATAAATGTGATGGTGGGGAGAACAAAAGTTCTGTGTGGCCAGGAAAGTCAGTAGGAG